GCAGCAACAGTGGCCAACCGTGACCCCAGACTGGGAAAAATGGCTGCCGAGGATGGAGCATTTCTTCGGTCAGCAATGGAAAGATCAAGGCATCTACCACTTGATCAAGCTATTCGATCGGCCGCTCGTCATGGATCGGTCGCTCTTGGCCGCAGCCCTGTGCTTTTGGTCGTCGGCCACCAACACCATGAACTTTCGGTTCAAAGTAAACGCCGCCCTTGTTGCTCCCGAGGTGGAAGGGAGCTTTAAGGCTACGTGGCCTACTCTTGCGAGAGTTGCTGGGAGCAAGGCGAAGAACATGCTCAACTACTCCAGTTTCTACAGCAACTTCGGCGTAGAAGACAGTGATGAAGACGACGCCATTGCCCCTCTCGGCGAGGTTGAACACGCCGCGTTCTTGCTGTACTGGTTGTGCAAGTTCGTGTTTTGCACCCAGGCGAACAAGGTTACCCTGGAGTTCGCCCACCTGGCCGATTACCTAGCGCAGGGCGGTAGGTTAGCGCTCGGCCCGTTCTTACTCGGCCACATCTACCGCACGCTTCATGACATCGTCACTGATGGGATGAAGCCGAAGCACGGTGGTCCACTGTGGGCCTTCCAGTTCTGGCTGCAGGCCTCCTGCTTAGTGAACCCTGGGCCTCGCTCCTCCTTTACTCCTTCTCCCCTTCATTTTAACCTGCTCCAGTGACCCCTATTGTAGCCCTTCCAAAAACCGGGGAGCCAAATCCGCTGAACCTCGCGACTTGGCCGTTTGGCCATAATTAGATGGCTCTTCCTCCCCTGCTCTCCACCGACTGTCATTTGCCTTGGAAAGTTGACGTGAGCCAGAACCAAAACGTGGCCGAGATTCCTTCCTAGCCCTGGAGGAAGATGACCTTCCTCCCTATGAGGCCGAGGAGAAATTGCAATGCAATTGATGAAGATGGGAGGGTCTGGTACGATGATTCCAACGTGGCCGTGGTCGTGTTCATTCGGCTGGGCGCCCGGGTTGCACCCATGTCCAGAGTGACACCCCTTCCCCTGGCCGGAATGACGGCTCTGGGTTCGCCTGGTCGTACTCATGTCCGGAGTGCGGCCCCTTCCCTTGGCCGGAACGACGACCCTGGGTTCTCCTGGTCATACCCGTGTCCGGAGTGCCGCCCCTAGTCTCAGGAAGAAACGTCCGTCTGTCCAGCGAGGGGACCACGAAGCTGATGTTCGTAGATTTAGGAAGCAATCTTTCTTTATGTATATCTATATGTTGTAATCGGCCATGACCTGGCCGCTCCTTTGTGAACGTGACCCCCTTTTAAATAAATGAAGTATGATTCCTCTTTCTTTTTTTCTGAAAGCATGCCTTGTCTTTTATCTTCGTTGTGTTGTTTACTTCCAGTCGTAAAAACCTCATAATCCATTCTCGGCCGTCTCCCATAATGACGGGGTATACTTCTTTAAATACTGGCCGTTTATTGGTAGGTTGTGCCATTCTCCATCCCTATCCCTTAATTGGAATGCACCTCGGCTAAGGATTCGTTCGATAACAAACGGCCCCTCCCAGTTAGGTGAGAATTTGCTGAACCGAAGGTCCTTAGTCCCGATAGGAAGCACGGCTCGCCATACCAAGTCGCCTTCGGCGAAAGTCTTTTGCTTGACCTTTCTGTTATAGGCCCTTGCCGCGATTTGCTTCTGCGCTTGCATTAGGTTATAAGCATCGAGTCTGGACTGCTCCAAGTCTTCTGACTCCTGAGCCATAGCTTGCGCGTAGTCCTTCCTTTCCTTACTGGGCTGCTCGGCCACGCGGAGAGACCGAACCTTTAACTCCATCGGAACGATGGCGTCATGACCGTAGGTTAAGGCATAAGGAGATGTGCCCGTGGCTGATCGTTTTGTGACTCGGTAAGCCCAAAGGGCTTCAGGGAGTAAGTCGTGTCATGCCCTTGGTTTTTCCTCAATCATCTTCTCAAGGATGCCCTTGATTACCTTGTTGCTTGCCTCGGCCTGTCCGTTAGACTAGGGGTAGTAAGGTGTTGAGTGAACCAATTTGATCCCCATTTTTTCGGTGTACTCCCGGGTTTCGGCCGATGCGAAAACTGGGCCGTTGTCGGCCGTGATAGTTTCAGGTATACCGAACCTGTGGACGATGTGTTTCTCGAAGAATTTGACCACCTGTGCGCCAGAAATCGACCGATAGGACTCCGCCTCGACCCATTTAGTAAAATAGTCGGTTGCCACCAAAATCTATGCATGTTTGTTGGACGCGGCCGAATAGATTTTGCCAATGATATCCACGGCCCAACCCCTGAACGGCCATGGTTTGGTAACCGGGTGGAGGGCTTCGGCCGGTACCCTTTGTATGGGGCCGTAGATCTGGCATTTGATACACCCCTTCGCATACTCTATGCAATCTTTTAAGATGGTCGGCCAGTAATAGCCGTGCCTTCGAACCAACCACCTCATTTTGACGCCAGACTGGTGAGCGCCGAAAATCCCCCCGTGGGATTCGGTCATGATAACCTTTATGTCTCCGGCGCTGGGACATAGGAGCAATAAGCCGTCCGATCCCTTTCGATACAGCTTATTTTGATAAATCAAATAACACCGAGCCTGGAAACGCGTGGTCCTCTCATGGCTGCCGGAGGGGTCGCGCAGATACTTTACTATGGGGTAGTGCCAATCGGCCTCGGCCGTGTTGACTTCGTCGATGACCTCGGCCGATGATACTTGCGTTGTCATACCTCGTTCAGCCAAAGCTGGCAAGGTACGCCTCTCGACTCTTATCACACGATCATGGTCATCGTCCGGAATATTCACGTCTGACGCCACCTGGGCCATCTCATTGGCCTCATGGTTCTCGGCGCGCGGTACGTAGACAAAGGAAATCCTAGAAAATTCGTCGTTCGCATTGAGGGCCGTCACATAATACATAGTTAAATTTTCGCTCGTGCACTGGTATTCCCCAGTCAATTGGTTAATCACCAGCTGAGAATCACCGTAGACCAAGACACGGGTTGCCTTCATTTCTCTCAGAATCTTGAGACCGATGATGAGTGCATCGTATTCGGCTTGATTGTTGGTGCATTTGAAATCAAGCAGGAACGCAAATTGCCACCTTTGTCCTTGAGGGCATTCGATCACGACTTCGGCTCCGTACCTGGCCTCGGTACTGGAGCCGTTGAAGTACATGGTCCAGTAGTTCTTTTCCATGCGGGCCATGCCGATCTCGACCTCCAACTCCTCTTCCTGCCCCTGAGCCGGGTGGTGAGCCAAGAAAGCGGCCAATGCCTGACCCTTGACCGACTTCTGGGCCACATACTGGAAGGTGAATTCGGACAATGCCATTGTCCACTTCCCAATTCAGCCGCGTATGATCGGCCGAGTAAGCATATATTTGATGAGATCGGTCTTGGAGATTATTTGAACGATCGAGGGGAGCATATAATGGCGCAACTTGGTAGCCGCGAAATAAAGCGTTAGGCATAGTTTCTCGATCGGCCGTGTTAAGGGTACGGCTCAGGTAGTGCACTGCTTGCTCTCGTTCTGACTCGTTGTTTTGAGCCAGCAGACAGCCGATAGAGCTCTCCAAAGCCGAAATGTAAAGTCTCAAGGGTTTCCCTCTTTTTGGCGACATAAGGACCGGTGGTTGAGATAAATATTTCTTAATATCGTCGAGGGCCGTTTGATGTTTTGCTCCCCATACGAACCGATCCGTGTCTTTCAGTTTGAGCAGGGGGGTCAACGGCCGGATTTTCTCTGCCAAATTGGATATGAACCGCCTTAAAAAGTTGACCTTACCGAGGAAGGACTGGAGCTCTTTCTTGGTCCTTGGCGGAGGGGCCGCCATAATGGCCGTAGCTTTAATTTTATCTACCTCGATTCCTCGTTGGTGAACTAAGAAACCGAGGAAATTCCCGGCGGTGACGCCAAAAGCACACTTCTTCGGGTTCATCTTTAGGCCGTGTGCTCGCATTCGGTTGAAAGCCTATCGGAGATGTCCTACGTGGTTGGCTTTGGATGGGGACTTTACAACCACGTCGTCGATGTAGACTTCAACGGTTCGGCCTATAAGGTCGTGGAAAATAAGGTTCATGGCTCGCTGGTATGTCGCGCCGGCATTCTTTAGGCCGTATGGCATGACCACCCACTCATAGGTTCCGATTGCGCTCGGGCATCAGAACGCCGTTTTGTGGACATCTTCCTCGGCTATGAAAATTTGGTTGTAACCAGCATGGCCGTCCATGAAAGACAGTAGTTCGTGCTTTGCGGCTCCGTCTACCAGGAGGTCTGACATAGGCATGGGGTACTCATCCTTTGGGGTTGCAAGATTCAGATTTCTGTAATCAGTGCAAACCCTCAAAGCCCCAGTCTTCTTTAAAACTGGTACGATGTTGGCCAACCACTCAACGTATCGGGCCGTTCGGATGAAGCCGGCTTTAAGGAGCCGTTCAATTTCTTCCTTGACTTTAAGCTGCACTTTGGTCGAGAACCGCCTCGGCGATTGTTGGAAAGGCCTAAACCCCTCCTTGATTTTTAACTCGTGCTCAACCAAACTTCTCGGCAACCCAGGCATCTCATGGTAATCTCAAGCGAAACAATCCTTATATTCATGGAGGAGGCCGATAATCTCGGCCGCTAACTTAGGGTCCAAAAGCTGGCTTACAAAAAGAGGCCGCGGCTCGGCCTCCGACCTTACATTTATTTTTAATAAAGGGTCCTGGACCTCGGGGTAGTCATCCTCCATCTCGGCGGGCGCCGTTTCTAGGTCGTCAAAAGTCAAAGCATCGGTCTCGTCTGATTCGTGGAGGAATTCGATCAGGTTGATTGGTGAGTTTGACCGCAAGGATTCCTCCGCCCAATGTTCCAGCAGTCTTTCCAGCAGGTCGGTCACGGCCGCTGCTCCCTCTTCTTTAGTGGCTTTGTCTGTCATCTAAAGGCTGGTGAGGTCGATCAATACTTCGCGCGCCGAATCCTGTCGGACATTCTCGGCGCCTAACTCCAGTACTTTCTGGGTCGTTGTCCTGGTTGGTCGGCCGCTTGCATCGTGGCCGGTGAGGACAACCCATCCAACGTCGTCGTTGTAAATCCGTGCTTGCACGGCGTTGGCTTCGAAGGGCTTTTCGTCGACCGAGTGTATGAACACCCTCTGGCCGTCCCAAAAGAAAAGCAGTTGGAAGAGGGAGGACGGTATGCACCCATATTGGTGGATCCAGTCACGACCGAGCAATATATTGTAGTCCACACTGGATTCGACTACGTAGAAGGCCGCGACCCTTGTTTGGTCGGCCATGGTGATTTTTAACGGCAATACCCCTATGGTTTTAGATTTATCGCCGACAAAACTGCTCATGACCACGTCGCTGGGGATGAGGTCCTCTTTTGATTTATCCAGTTTCCTCATCAGGGAATAGGGAAGGATGTTGACCGTGGCCCCACAGTCAACGAAGACCTTGGACACAGGCACACCCTCCACATGAGCCGAGATGTACAACGGGTATGTCATTATCTCGTTAAAAGCCACGGCCAACAATTCTTCCTTTGTCTTTGGCCTCTGATCTAGCTGCTCCTCGGCCATGTCATTATCCAAGCCATTAGTCTGCCCTCTTGGGGCTGAGAACTCAGACGGTAGTACTAGGACCATGTTCATGCTGGCCTCCCTCGGCTCATGCTGGTCTCCCTTGCCAGCTTCCTCTTCGGCCTCATAGCCATTCCTGACGAGGGTTTTCTCTTCAACCATCCTGAGGATCCCGTCATATTCTTCATCGGATATTCCCAAGGTGGGGTCGTCTTCGGCCTCATGCCCAAAGAAAGGGTCGCCGGGGGCCTCGATCACAGGCTTCGTCGTTCCGGAGATATCATCTGTGGACACTTTGATCTTGGGTGGGTCCGAGACCTCGGCCTTCTCCTCGAGGGCTCGTCTAGCTTTGGCCAACGTATCCCTAGCTGTTAAGTAGTCGTTCAGACGGCCTACTCGAGCCCTTTCCTTAGTTGTTAGACCAAAGATAGTGTCGGCCGGAGTCACGGTGAAATACTGGAGGAGATACTCCAAGTCGCCCTTGCTGAAGGGGGCCTTAGCCTCCAATCCTGCTAGGTCGGGCTGGTATCCTGGCATCCCTCTCGCTCTGGCTTCCCTGTTCGCCTGGTATACGGCCTTGATGGCGGAGTCGGATCCATTGGTAATGAGGAGCCCCTCCGCCTTCGCGTTTTTGAGGGCCAACTCGACGATTTCACGGTTCTCAGGGGGCATGCCGTATAGGTCGGTGGCCGAATAGTCTTTATGGAATTCCATGAGAAAGGACAAACCGTTGGCCGAGAAAGGGGAATCCCTTCCGCGGTAGACGTCGATGATGCCTTCGTTTGTTTTCTCCAGGGTCGCAGCCTTTGGCTGGACCGAAACGGCCGCCGCTCCACTGGGATTCTCGTCCTGCCTAGGGCGCCACGTCCTTGGAGGCTTGATGCTAGCCGTCTTTGCTGTAGAGGGGACAATTGCTATAGAAGATGGCCCGTCTGCAGTCGCCATTTTCTTTTGGCGCTTGGAACCCTCGGCCTGGGTTGTCTGTACTCTGGCATGCTGGACTTGCCTCTGCATCCTCCTCAGCTGGGTTTTTGTCAGTGGTTCGGCCCTGCCCCCAGGTCGTGCATGTTACCAGCGGTCGTCTCGCACGACCGGAGGTTTGAAAGTTTTTACTGGCCTTGGGGCGGCCTCGTCTTCGTAACCTACTGAGGTACTAGGGGTTTCTGCCCCCAGTCGGTCGAAAACAGCTCTGCTGGCATGCCGACAATCGGTTTGGCCGCCGAATTTCTTCGCGATCAGTTGAGATGGCTCGGTGGCCTTCCTCTTGTTCTCCTGTAGCCTGGGCTGGCTGACCTCACACTTGCATCTCTCACAAAGCACTAACTCAGATTCGGCCGACGGTTCTTTTTCCTTCGCCGGGCGACGAATTTTCCTATATTCAGCTCGGAGTTAGGCGTCGACCATGTTGATGACCGGTGGAGGGAAAGGCTTGGAGTCGACCTGCATGGCCGCCTTCTCTGGGAACTGGAGCTTCTTTTCGTCTATCAACTTCTGGATGACGTCTTGCAGGACAACGCAGTTGTTGGTGTTGTGAGACCAAGAACTGTGGTATTTGCAAAACGTCTTCCCTTTGAGCTCGTCGGGCTTCGGAATTTTATGGCCGAATGACAACTTGACCTTTTTTTAGGCCAACAGCAGGTCAAAGTTAGCTTCAGCCCTCGTCAAGTCAAAAGTGTAGGCCTTCGTTTCCCGAGTTGCAAACTTGGCGTCGGGAATTTTTGTACGGCTATTGTCGGCCTTGAGAAGTCCTTTGCAGACGAACGGCTTGTCTATGCTGACTTCGGCTGAACTCATCTCTACTTCGTCGCTCTCGGCCTCCGCGGAGCTGTCTGCTTCGGCATAGCTGACAATGGGATTCCTGTAGTAAGTCCCTTTTGAAGCCGTCTTCTTCTGCATCTCTTCCTTTAACAAGGACGCGTACCTGTCCACCTTGTTGATCAAGTCATGCATATCTCGGAATTCGATCCCCTGGAATTTTTTCCGGTACTCAAACTCCAACCCTTCTTCGGCCATCTTGACAAATTCCCTCTCCGGTAGGTTCGTGCGGCACCAGTTCCTGCATGTTTTGAACCGCTGCAGGTAGTCGCGAGGTGATTCGTCTGACGCCTGGCTCATCCTTGCTAGCTCAGCGACTGTTATTTCTCGGTTGGTCTGATAGAAATGCTCGTGGAATATCCTTTCCATATCAGACCAATCCCTTACCGAATTCGGCGGAAGGTTTATGAACCATGTGAACGCCGCGCCGGTCAGAGAGTGAACAAACAAACGGAGCTTCTGTGCGTCCGAATCGGCCTCTCCACATTGGGCCGTGAAGCGGCCTATGTGTTCAATGGAGGAGGTCTGCCCATCCCTGGAGAACAGCATGAATTCTGGCAATCGATAGTTCCGGGGAAGAGGGGTACGGCTTTGTATACCTTGGCGCCTCCGGTCGCCTCTGAGCGAGGCCGTCCTCGATCATTCGTCGGACATCTTCGAATCGGAGCCCTTGAGGGGGTGCTTCTTGTTGGGCCGCACACGGCCGCGGGACCTGCTGCACATCATTCTGCGGCCTTATCTGCTGGGCCACTTGAACAGGTGGCTCGGCTGGTACGGCCGAGCTGGTTGGCGCTAGGTGAGCGCCATAGGTTTGGCCAGGGTGCGTGTATGCTGTCGTCGGAATGGCCGAACCGTAATGAAGGTGGGAGCCCACAGGGAATAACAACGCCTGCAATGGTGAAACGGTCGGATTGCTCTGACCGTACTGTTGTGGTGGAGCAGCGATCACGCTGCT